CAAACATGGTATCCTTCTCCGGGAACTGCTCCCTCCTGACAATATGTCCAAAATATGAGTCAAAGTATGGCTATCCTGGCTTCTAGGGAGCATTCTGTCTGTACTTCTTCCAATACAGATTGGTTTGTTTTTTGGCAGTCCATGCTACTTTTAATATTCTTCTCCGCCACCATAGCTCAAATGCATCAATTCTTCTATGGTCTTCCTTATTCACTGTCCAACTTTCACATGCATATGAGATTACTGAAAATACCATGGCTTGGGTCAGGTGCACATTAGTCCTCAAATGGACACCCTTTGCTCTTGTGCAGCAGATTTGCCTAATAAAATATGTCCTTTGATTTCTTGACTGTTGCTTCTATGGGTGTTGATGGTTGATGGGAGCAAACTGAAGTCTTTGACAACGTAAATCTTTTCTCCATCTATATGGATGTTACTTATTGGTCCTTTGGTAAGGATTTTTGTTTTCTTTACATGGTGGTGCAACACATACTACAGCCTGTGGTCTTTTGATCTTCATCAGTAAGTATTTTAAGTCCTCTTCACTTTCAGCAAGCAAGGTTGTATCATCTTCATATCGCAGGTTATTAATGAGTTTTCCTTCAATCCTGATGCCATGTTTTACTTCATATAATCCAGCTTCTTGGATTATGCGCTCAGCATGCAGACTGAATAAGTATGGTGAAAGAATACAACCCTGGTGCACACCTTTCCTAATTTTAAACCATTCCGTGTTCCCTTGGTCTGTTGGAACAACTGCCTCTTGGTCTATGTACAGGTTCCTCATGAGCACAATGAAGTGTCTTGAATACTCATTGTCCTCAATGTTTTCCATAGCTTGTCATGATTCACACAATTGAAAGCCTTTGCATATAGTCAATAAAGCACAGGTAAATATCTTTCTAGTATTCTCTGCTCTTAGTCAAGATCCATCTGACGTCAGCAATGATGTCCCTCATTCACGTTCTCTTCTGAATCTGACATGAACTTCTGGTAGTTATCTGTCAGTTGTGAATGATCTTTAGAAAAATTTACTTGCATGGAATATTAACAATATCATTTGATGATTTCTATATTCCATTAGGTCACCTCTCTTTGGAATGGGCACAAATATTGATCAGATAGTTGTCTTCCAAATTTCTTGGCATAGATGAGTGAGTTCCTCTAGTGTCAGATCAGTTTACTGAAAGATTTCAATTTGTATTCCATCTATTTCTGGAGCCTTTCCCTTTGCCAATGCCTTCAGTGTACCTTGAACTTCTTCCTTCAGTATCATCGGCTCTTGATCATATGCTACCTCTTCAAATGGTTGAATAGCAGTGGAACACTGTCAGCACCAGGTTTCCAGAGAAAAAGAACCAAAGATTCAAAGAAAATACAAGTCTATAGGACAAATAGTCTACTTGAACCATGTTCTCATAGACCATGAAACCAGAGGAACTATATGGTGCCTAGCTGCCATTCCTGACTTTTCTGAGCAGGGTCATCACAGATAGACTCTGGTGGGAGGAAATGTGGAACAGAACCTCAAATTCCTAAAAATCGAATAAACCACCCAGACTCACTGAACCAGTGGAACTGGAGGACTCCTCAAAAAAACTGTTGCTCTGAGATACTCTTTAAACCTCCTGAGGTCACCTTTTAGCTAAGTAACAGAGTGGTGTTCAAAATAAAGGTCACTGAACCACTTGTGTAGAAATTGTTGAGTGGGAACCTAAACTGCTATGTTAAACCTTCAGCAATAAAACACAATAAAATATTTTTCAAAGTATTTTTTTAATAATGATGAAATGAAGGGAAAAGCATTTAAAGTGTGCTGTCATGATGTGATTATGATGATTTAAATTTTTTTCATTTTTAGCTGAATGTTTTCTAAATTTCTGCATATATAATTTATAATAATAAAAAAATTAGCTTAACAGTTTATAACATAGATGTCTTTTCATCTACACATGCATGAAACACTTGCTCCAGGGCCTTCTATTAGTTTAGAGGATGCCAGGTCAGAGGCGACCTCCAGTTCTAGTCTTTAAGAAATTTACAATGCCTACTGCTGTTCTCAATCCCAAAGAGATAGAATACAACGCAAATCAGCATTCAGGGTGGTCTATGTAGATGAGGAAGGAGAGAGAAGGGGTAGGACAAAGCTTGTTGCCCTAAGGAATTCTTTTACATAGAAACTTGTACAGATATGTAGACACACATACCATACATCTTAGTTATAGTTCTCACATTTTGTACAACAGGAACCATTACTTGAAAAACCTGAGCGAAAGCCTAACAACATTTTGATGCGTCCAGCAGTTACTTTCTTATGGTTTCCCCCCTTGATTTTAAGGTCGAACGTAAAGAAAGTTTACCAAAATTTGAGTTAAGATATATTTTTGAAATAATAGCCATAGTAATTATTACAAGACTACAGATTACAACTGGGCTGATAACCGGAAGGCCAGCAGTTCAAATCTACCAGTTGATCCTCTTCCCCATATGAAAGGTGAGGGTTTTCAATCTTGGAAGATGAGGCTTTACAACCTTGGAAACCCTATACATGTTTCCTATGAGGTGGAACTGACTCGATGGTATACAACCACCTACTTATATCTATTCATATAGGGTTGCTGTTGTTAAGTGCTGACGAGTTGTTTCCAACTCATTGTTGTTGTTGTTATGTGCCATCGAGTCGGTTCCGACCCATAGCGACCCTGTACAGGGTTTCCGAGGGTGTAAATCTTTACGGGAGTAGAAAGCCTCATCTTTCTCCCGCGGAGCAGCTGGTAGTTTCGAACCGCTGACCTTAAGGTTCGCAGCCTGATTCGTAACCACTACGCTACCAGAGCTCCTTAGTGACCTTGTATAGGGTTTCTGAGGAGCAGCTGGTGGGGTTGAACCACCAACTTTGCAGTTAGCAGTCCAGTGCGTATCTTACAGCACCAAGCCAGGACTCGTATATGATAGTTCATATTCATATATTATTGTGTGCTAGACACTTGTTGTTGTTGTTAAGTGCCGTGGAGTCGATTCCGACTCATAGCGACCCTGTACCGGGTTTCGGAGGCTGTAAAACTTTACGGGAGCAGAAGGCCTCATCTTTCTCCTGCGGAGCGGCTGGTAGTTTCGAACTGCTGACTTTGCGGTTCGCAGCCCGATTCGTAACCACTACACTACCAGACTAGCAAAGTGTTTTACATGCATTGTCATCTCATTTTATTTTCCTTTTAATTTCACAACATGTCTATGATGTAGTTACTATTATTACCAATCCCATTTCACAGGTAAGAAATGGAAGGCTAAAAAAGTATCAAACAAGTGGCCTAAGTCACCTGCTTGGAATTGCAGTTTCTCTGCCCTCCTTGGTAACCACTCCAATCCATGAAAGTACACGCACAGTTTTAGTTCCAAAGACAGAAAGGAATTAGAATACGAATCATCTTTTAAATGGAATAAAAGTGAATTTCCAGTTGCAAAAGGGAGAAAACTGGAAAACCATTTCTTTCAAAAAGACAGGCTTCCTAGTCAGTAATGAATAAGAAAATTATGAATGAAATTTTCAACTAAGTATTTCAGCACTGTCACAGAGGAGCTCTGGTATAATAGTGGTTACCAGTCGGGCTGTTAATCTCAAGGTCAGCAGTTGGAAACTCCAGCTGTTCTGTGGGAAAAGACGAGGCTTTCTGCTCCCGTAAAGATGTACAGCTTCGGAAACCCTAT